GGATATTCAGTCAGAGGGAGACGTAAGGACACTGGTAGTCAATCTAGCTGAGCCCAGTCATTCTGGATTGTACCGCTGTGAATCATCTGACGACTCTGTCCAGTTCACTGTGGATATCAAAGGTGATTTATGACTTTTTGAGAATCTTGTACATCCAGTAACACATTTGCAAAACTAGATGCAAACTAACAATCAAGTTTTTTGTTGTCTGCGTCTCTTAGCTGTGCTGTTATGGACATGCCTCTCACCATTGCATCCAACTTGTCGGCAGTGATTTGATACAGATGTTACATGTTTTGCATTATTTAACTTGCTTCTTGGCAGATGGTCTGAGAAATCACAGATAGGCAGTCTAGATGACTTTTTAATAAAGGATATTAATTATGAATATCCTTTAATAATGCAACGGATCACCCTTAGATCCACCGGTGATGTTCTCAGCATTACCAGACACAGTGAAGAACCAGCTGGTTGAAGCAGACTACTCCACTGATTTGCACGGTGAAATCTCAGGTCCAAATGCCAATGTGTGTTGTTACAAGGATGGTGTAGAGCTCGTCTCAAAAAGTCAGCCTCATATCAAATCGGAGTGTACCAGGAGGACGTTAGCTGTCAAGACAGCACAGCCCTCTAACTCTGGATGGTACGACTGTGTGAGAACTGGTGATGTCATCCAGTTTAATGTACAAGACCAAGGTGATTTTCAAATATTTGCTCCTAATCTACTTAATGTTTTTGTGTGACAACTAACAATTGTGTGCTCTATGTAGCTTTTTTTTTTTAAATCTCTTTAAATGTATTCTGACAATGTTACTTGTATGTCCTTGGCTTCAATGGCCATAATTGGTTCTGTCTTTCTGAGTTTAGAAAATTAGTCACTTACATTGAATAAAGCATTCCTTTGTCAATGGTCATCTGTAGTGCCACCACCAACATTTTTGGCTGATCCTGAAGTTGAGAAGACCAAATGCACTCAAGAAATGGAACCTGTTGCACTACATTATGAGATTTCAGATACCACTCCATATGTCCGCGAGACAAAAGAAGAGAAGGTCATGCCTTCTCAATCTGAACCTGAATTTAAACCTGATTTGGAACTTGAATCCAAATCTGAATCTGAACCTGAAGTTCACTCAGACGCATCCAGAGGAACTGTAATCATCCACACACCAGAGACATCTCTTTTCGAAGTAAACAGCCAAAAGACATCAGATGATCCCATCCCGTTTGAAATGGACCAAGGTGGTTTGCCACTTACTTGTACGCCATTCTGAATTAGGAACATTAACATGGCTGAAGCAAGTCAGTTATTGTTTTCTTTGTGGCTTTTCTAACAGCAGAACTGTCTCACTATGAAGTGTTCAGTGGTGAGACCTATGATGACTCTGTCCAGTGCACTGTGGATATAAAAGGTGATATAATGCTACCTCAATCCAAGCATTTAACCCAGTGCCTCTGTGCCACTAACAAGGGTGGTTTTAACTATCCAATGGCTCTTCCTGGAGATGCTGGTCCCCTGCATCTTGGTTACCTTCCCAAAACTAATCCATGCTATCATGTCTTTATCCAACATCCAGTTGGTCTGCAAACCCTTCTTCCAAACTAACACTCATTCAATAGACTTACCTATCTTCATTATTCATTGAAGCACATTTAAACTTAAACTGTATACGTCTACATTTGCTTGAGTCATCTTGTCCATGTGTCATTCAGAATCATCATCAGTATTGTCTTGACTGAATTATGTTACAGAGAGCTGAAATACAGATAGAATAGTTGAGTGAATGAAAGTTGGTGATATGACTTCTTGTGTAATTGTGTTTTGTTTTTAATATGTGTTTTAACCACTGTTTGGCTTGTTTTAGACCACTATGTGATATGGTCATCATTCTTACATTTTTACGATCTTGAAATACTCTTAAAAATTAACCAGCTTTTCTGACTATGAAGACAAAAAAGAACTTCACCTTTTCTTTATGCAAACAATTCAACTATAGAAGAGTTCCTGAGAACATCAGGAACTGAGGCTGAGATCAGATCTGAAAAAGAGAACAACAATCTCTCAGCGGAAAGATCTGGAGAAGAGATTCAGTGGTATACCCCAGTGTCTGTACCTACAACCTTCAGATTGATTGAAGAGGAACAACAGCCACAACCAATGCTACAGCCACAGCTACAACCACAGCTACAACCAATACTACAACCAGAACTACAACCAATGCTACAACCACAGCTACAACCAATACTACAACCAGAACTACAACCAATGCTACAGCCACAGCTACAACCAATGCTACAACCACAACTACAACCGATACTACAACCAGAGCTACAACCACAGCTACAACCACAACTACAAACAATGCTACAACCAGAGCTGCAACCAGCAAACCAGATAAATACTTCAGTTTCTGAAGATGAAGGCTCAAATCACATCAAAAGACAAGAGAGTGACATGGATCAAGATGTCTTAGCTTTTAAGGTGGATGTTGAAGGTGATTTAAATAGTTAGCTCCATCATTCTGCAAATAATGATGGGAGCAAAATATCTGCCATTGACATTTACCACCTAACAACCACTTAACGTCATTCTTCTCTATTCGGATCCATTACTGAATCTGAATAACTCCGAAAACTTCAACTTACTGACTTAGATACAAAAACAGCGTTTTATAATTATTTACCTGTAGAATTCCATCACCAAATATTTATCTAACAAAGATCACCTCACTAAAAAAATTATATTGTATCATCTAACTTCTAGCCAAAATCGTGTCATTTTAATATATAAGTAATAAAAAAGATACAAGCCTATAGTAAGATTATTGATTGTAAAGCTATGAATAAGTGCAGTTTATTTAGCTTAGCTAACGTAAAGTATACAATTTAATGTGTCATAATTGTAATACATGTCTCTTTTCATATAACTTGAAATATCCCTAGCTTCGAGGACAAATTCCACACCAGTTTGTGGAATGGATGAGAGAATTGATGCAGACTGTTCCAGTGTACTGCTAACTGAAAAATCCGACCACACAATCCAAGAAAAACCTATATCCTGCCAAGAAGATGAGACAACCGTAATATTCAATAAACCTACAACACAGAAAGAGCTCATCCAGTCATCAGAGATGTGTTTGCAAGAAGCATATGAGACTGTTACCAAGGATGAATTTGTTGTACATCAAGAGGAAGTGAAAGGTGACTCAAGATTGTTTTTAACACACCATTAATGATCAAAAGCAACTAACTTTGTCTGGCTTTTGCTTAAATGTTCTGTACCCTAGTCAACCAAATTGTTTTACACTTACACTCTTAATAGATAACTCACGATAAACATTGCTTTGTCTCCTCAAAACTGAAGAACCTTGTCATAAAGCAGAATTCTTTACACTACCACCAGAAGATAAAGTTGTCAGACCCATTGAAGGTGATTCTCCAGTTCACTGTTACAAGGACAGAATGCAGTTCTACTCTGAAAATGGACATACGCTTGAGGAAAGTGTGCGAAGACTGAATGTTCCAGTTATAGGCTCGGGTCAAACAGGCGTAAACAACTACAAGGCAAAGGATGATGACATAATATTTAAGGTGGATGTCAAAGGTGATTTTAAACTAGTTTAAATCCACACTGCTACATCAGTTCCAGTCATTTAATCATATATTAAAATCAAAGAAAAAAAAAACATGAAATGAAATTACTAGATCTAAAAAAAAAAAAAAACATTTAATACTGATTAAATGATACTAGTAAATGATACTGATACTCAGAATATAACTTCAATGCAGTATAACTTATTTTTTCTCATTGCTATTTATTTTAAATATTACCTGTTTAGGTCAAATTATCTGCATTAAAACATATTAAATTAAACCCCTTAGCTACATCTTTGCAAACTTCATCTATCCATGAGACTGACAGGAGCAAGTCAAATGATGGAACAGATATTGCTAATTTTCCACAACCTGAGGTATCGAGCACAATGGCAGAGGTGTTCTGGTACAAGGAAGGCGAGGAACTCCAAGAATGCGACATTATCACCCAATCTAAGGAGACTTTCAGAGCTCTTGTTGTGAAAACAGCCGAGCCGTCTCACTCTGGAGAACATGCTTGTGAGACAGATGATGTCACCGTCCAGTTTGCAGTGAACCTACCAGGTGATTCATCAGTCATCTACGCCAGCTCAATCCATCCGATTACTAAACTAACCACTTCGATCATGCAATGGTTACTAACTCTGTTGAATCTGTTGTTCGGATAAAAGCCAGACTAATAGGTTGCTGTAAGATGTTGTTACTGCGGATAAACATTTTGGTAGAGAAAATATTATTATTATTTGCATTTGCATTTGCATTTCATAGCAGCATCCGGAAAAGTTAAAGTAACATAATTTTCAAAACAGTAATTAGTTGACAAATTGGCATTAACAAGTTCTCAAATATGTTTCAGGAAACTTAAAAGTAATTGTCTCATTCAGATATCTATTTAGTAATTATCATGTTGATTACAAATACTACTAATAATTTACAATGATATACTTCTTAGGTATGCTACAGGAAATCACTAACTAACAAATGTACAAAGGCAAAGGCCTGATACATACACAAGTAACACAACTAAATTAATTTTCAGTATGTTTGTCTTGGATGTTTGTTGCCCATGTTTTGTCTTTGTTGTAAAATATCTGTGACTTTGAATGTTGTCTTTTACTCTTGCGCTACTAATTTTTCATCTTATATTCTGAAGTTCATGTCTGTTTTCTGTGTTTTCTTCCCATTTTATTGATCATTACAGTAAATCATCAATATATTCTTACAGTAATTTAATTTCATGCCAAACAGGCTCTTTCATAAAACACTGAATGTTAGTCAATATTTTGACTCATTCTTGAGAATCAAGTTTTGAGAAAAACTATAAATGCATGTATGTTTTATAAAAAAAGGAAACAAACAATATAAAAATAAATGTGTCTGTACAAAATTGTCTGTAGCTCCACCTGTGACGTTCTCCAGTGTCCCTGAGGCTCAACGGACCATATGCATTGAGTCAGGAAGACCCTTTAAACTACAATGCGAAGTCTCAGACCCTGACGCACAAGTCTGGTGGTACAAAGATGGGAATGAGGTGCTTCCTCAAGATGGTATGGTTACTGTGTATGAGGAAGCCGTGAGAACACTCTCTGTGCAAAGTGCTGAATTATGTCACAGCGGAACATACAGCTGCCAGACAAACAATGATGCCATCTCATTCCATGTGGAAATCAAAGGTGATTTGATGTTTTCTTTCATGAAGACACCACATGAGTTCTGTGTATACTGAGCAAATCAAGCAATCTCCTTTATAACTATGTATTGTGGATATTAAGAAGGCAAATATTTTGGCCTTCATCCCTTAAAAGTAGTGTTTACTGATTGTCACTCAAGCACATACATTCATAAATAGGAAAAAAACAACTTATTAGCCAGTGATTTTCCATTAAATCACACAGCTCCTTCTCTATGCTAGGGGTGGGCGATATGACCAAAATCTTATTTCATGATATGAAAAAAATCCTGATAACAATATATTACTATATAGTAATTTTTGTTATTTTATTATTCTAACTTACTAAAAATAAGAAGCAAATTACAAACAATAGGACAAATATAACAAAGGGACCAATTAAAATATTTTTTCAAGTACAGTAAGTATTTAATGTGCAGTAATAAACACTACAGAAACTGAATAATCCAATTCAGAAAAAAAAACCTGCATAGTCTTCACTATATTATTTAAATATAAATGTATTCTTATTAAGCTACAAAAGAGCAGTAAGTTATTTTATTTTTTCTCAGATTTATATTAGGCTGCTGTCACTTTAAGACCAAATGCACGGTTCAAATATAATGACATACATACAGTTTCCTCTCAACTGTCTACATTCACTTAAGACATAAGCAGCTGTGTTTACGTGAATATTCCACACAATGGACATTTTGACATAATTGTGTGTATTTATTTTGACCATTCAAGTGCAATAAGATACAAAAGAAAGCAGAATTCGCAATTGCATGCCAAGAGGCGGTTTTCTGTGCGTGCGCTTCAGCTGTGACAGTCAATGTGTGACCACTGCAATGAGTTCTTTTTCACAGCTTATTGTGTTTAATAACTATATTTAACATCATGCACGTCCCGAATTTGTGATCGCATGGCGCATACTGTCTGAGAGAGGTGGCTTTCTCTGCGTGTGCTTCGCAGGTGTGTCAGTCAGTGCGAACACAAATACCGTAATATACACTATACTAGTGTTGTCAAAAGTACTGACTTACCAGGTACCAGTCGGTACTGCAATTTTAAAAAGATCCATTTCCCGCTAACATTTGAGTGCTGTTGAGTGGATTCTTAAACACCGCTGATTGGCCATAGTGTTCACGCGCACAACAGATATGACTGTGATTGGCTACAATGATCATCGCTTCACGCTCTTCACCGAATGCTCACACAGAAGCACATAGGAGTGTTTGAAAGCCGTGTCTATCAGTGCGGATCCATCTATGTGCAGATATATTAGGGATCCGCTGATAGTCGCGGCCAATCACAGTCATATCTGTTGAGCTCGTGAACACTATGGCCAATCAGCGGTGTTTAAGAATCCACTCAACAGCGCTCAAATGTTAGAGGGAAATGGACGTTTTTAAAATTGCGGTAAAAAAAGTCGGTACTTTTGACAACACTACACTATACTAGAGTTAAGTATCTAAAGATAGACAATTTATACTGTACCATCGCCACAATATATAGTGTCATAACGCCCAGCCCTACTTTATGCCATTCACACCTTTGTAGCTCCATCACTGAAGTTCATGCCAATTTCAGAAGTGGAGAAGAACAAGTCCACTGAAGTAGACTCACCAAATGTTCTGAAATGTGATCTATCAGACGCTACCACAGAGGTGCTCTGGTGCAAAGATGGTAGAGAGCTGGCCCCAAACCCTGGGCTCAATTTCCAAACAGATGGAAATATGAGGAAACTAACTGTTCAATCAGCAGAACTGTCTGATACTGGAAACAACACCTGTCATGCTCCAGGTGATACTGTATCATTCAAGGTGGACATTCAAGGTGATTTTCACAACACTACCACACAATTAACTATTGTTTCATGGCACATTAGATATTTCTTTCATTTCTAATCACTCCTGTTGAAAAACGTACCTCATGTAAGATCTTTACCATCCATTGAAACCCTGCTCACTTCTTGATAACTTAATAGCAAACCCTGTGACTAACACATTTGTAGGTTAAGACTGCCTAATTGTCTTTTGAAAGATTTGAAAACGATTCATGTTTTTGGCACAAATTAATTTGTCAATAATCTACTTTTTTTTTAATTTTCCAAATTTTCATAGCACACCCTGTTAGGTTCTCAGCACTCCCAGAAATTGCGAGGAACAAGTTTATCGAAGCAGGCTGTCCCATTATACTTCAGTGTGAAATCTCAGACCCTACTGCCCAAGTTTCCTGGCTCAAAGATGGAGTCGAACTCCTACAAGACAGTGGACTTGACATCCAGTCAGAGGGCACTATGAGGAGAATGATCATCCAATCAGCTGAGCTCAAAAACTCAGGCGTGTACAGCTGTGAGGCTGTAGATGATTGCATAGCATTCAAGGTGGATGTTGCAGGTGATTTTGAGTCTACATACTTTCTCAAAACCACTAACAATGAGTCAAATAACGCTTCATCCACTAAATGCTGTTTGCCCTTATCAGAGTTTAACAAAATAAACATTCATAACCAAATAATCAAAGCCCCTCTTGTTAAACACTAAAATGATCTCCTCGCCACTTTTGCTGACACAAACTGTAAAAAGGATTATAAAGGTTTTTGAACATCTTCCGAATCACTTACTATACAATATTACTATATTGTATAGATAATGTCACCTAATTTAGACATGCTCATTAACTTATATGCTCAGAAGAATACGCTTCAGAACTACAGTAGCAAATAACATGAGATACGATGATATTCACTCGGAATCAGCAAAATGTCTCATTCATTAGCCATACATAAGTTTGAATATTTTTCATCATTTCATTTCATTAGTTTTCATATCTTAGAAAGGTTTTTTGGTAATTCTATGAATTTGACTGAACAAAAATCCTCTTAGCTCCACCAGCGATGTTCTCAGCTGTTCCTGAGATTGAGAAGAACAAGTCCGTTGAAGCAGGCTGGCCAATCATTCTCCAATGTGAGATATCTGATCCTACAGCCCTGGTCCAATGGTACAAGGATGGATTACAGCTCCTACCTCAATCTGGGGTTTACATCCAATCACAGAACACCATGAGGACACTGGTTATCCAATCAGCAAATGTATCCCACTCTGGGTTTTACAGTTGTAATACTGCTGATGATATCAGCGAAATTTTTGTGGATGTTAAAGGTGACATACAATATCCAAAGTATTCTGTTATATAACTAACAAATACATCATTTTGTAGAGTTCCGTTTTCATTGGGTGAAAGCATTCTTCTCTACCTTTCAACAGATCCATTCTTGCTGCTTTATGGGCTCCTTAACCATTTCCCTAATGCAGGAATATATCTGAAGCTTCACAAGTTTGTTTGCAGCATTTCCACCAACTACTACTATTCTTAAATGCTATTTAACCAGCATCTTGTTTCTCTTTATTTTTAAAGAAACCATTTATGCTGGGCAAGCATGTAACCTTTATTATCTGTGCTTAACGGCACTTCATTCTCACAAAGCTTTCATTAACTCTATTCTCTTTTTCTTTGTATTACATTTGGCTTTTAGAGTGGAGAAAGTTATACAGGGCTGCCCATGCAATCATCATCAGTGCTTGAATTGCATGCTTCACGTCATACTTGTGTGACAAATTAAAAGCAGCACAACATAAAAACTAAGGTCCATTTCCTTTTCATTGCAGCACCTCCTGTGACATTTGCCTACATACCAGAAGATGATCTGCACAGAAATATTGTGGAACAAGACAATCTACTCCTTTGCTGTCAAGTGTCCAGGTCAGATGCTACTGCACAATGGTACAAGGATGGAGTAGAGCTAAAGCCTAGTGACAACGTCCTCATAGAGGCAGAAAACACTATACGAAGGCTGATCGTCCTGTCAGCTCAACTCTCAGATTCTGGGACGTACACCTGTCGTGCTGGAGATAGTGCATTAATATTTAAAGTTAACGTAAGAGGTGAGTAAATATGTCTATATTCATACCAACAACTCAAAATCTGATCAAATTTACAAGGCTGTGTAACTATTTTCTTTTGCTTCACAGAACCTCCGGTGATGATTGTATATCCCAAGGAAGATGTCCACCTTGATCGCTATGTTCCCGAAGAAATTGTACTCAGCTGTGAACTTTCACGGCCAAATGGAAAGGTAACATGGTTCAAGGATGGACAGAAACTACAGGAGAGTGAAAACATAAAGCTAAAGTCAGAGGGTCCGTACAGACGACTAAAAATTCTGCGCAGTGGTGTTGAGGACTCCGGAGAATATGTCTGTGACACAGCTGATGATTCAATATTCTTCAATCTAAACATTAAAGGTATCAAATTTAGGTTTAAATATATTGCATGTAGAGATTTCTGATGTCAGCCAGAAGGAAAGTTGTTGCAGCAGATCAGATCAAGATATTCAGTTGGATAACAGATTACGAAGACATGCATTGATGAATTTGCACGAAGTGAGAATGATCAGGAACATGCATTAGGAAAGTAACATGTTTACATGTTTCCTTATAGAACCACCGGTGCGCATAGTTTCTCCAAGCCAGTCCCAAATGGAACTATGCCAACAGACTTCTGAGAGGATGGTCCTGAGCTGTGAAATCTCTAGACCAAACGCCACTGTACGTTGGTATCGAGATGGACTTGAAGTGGAGGAGAGTGACAGCCTAATTCTGGAGGTTGATGGTGTCTATAGGAGACTTATTATCCCAAAACCTACCGTCAAAGACTCTGCAGAATATGTCTGTGACACTGCTGATGACTCAGTGACCTTCTTTGTAAACATCGCAGGTGTGTCAAAGACCAACTATTTAATAGTCCATAATAATAATAATAAAAACAGCTTCAGTTCTCAATGTCCATAATGACTTTATTTCTTCATGCAGAGCCACCAGTTAGATTTATTCGGCCAAGGAAAATGGCCTATGGAGTAGAGAAACTTGTTGGAGACATTGTGGTTCTTGAGTGTGAAGTGTCTCGACCAAATGCTGAAGTTAGTTGGAAGAAGGATGCAGAAGAGATTGAGGAGAACAGCAACATAACTATCACAGAGGATGGCACAAGTCGACAGTTAACCATTCACTCTGCAGCTTTTGAAGATGCAGGGCAATATATCTGTGATGCTAGAGATGATGTGATGGATTTCCTAGTGAAAATCAAAGGTACATTTCTGTGATAAGCAGATTCAAATGCTTTGATGAATCCATCACTGCAACTAACTAAAATGTTACCCTCTTTCTTCCAGATCCACCACTAAAAATTCTGCGGAAAGCTGACATAGAAACAAAACGCAGATTTGTAGTATCTGATGCCATTGTGTTAAAATGTGAGATCTCAAGACCAAATGGGGTGGTCAGTTGGCTTAAAGACAATGAGAAGATTGAGGGAAATGAGCATTTTATCTGTGAAGAGGAAGGGACATTCAGATCCCTGATTGTCCTGAGCGCTGAGTTGAAGGACTCAGGGGAGTACATATGTGATGCACAAGATGATAAAGTTGTCTTCAGTGTTACTGTAGAAGGTACTGCTTGTTAAAATGCAATGTAAACAATGAAAAGCATGCACATACTCGTTCAAAGAAAATATACAAAACTTTACCTTTACCTGTGCCTTTAGCTTGTCACTGGGGCAGTACCCTCAAAAGTACACTTTTGTATCTTATTTACCCACTTATGTAGGGTGACCATACGTGCCATTTTCCCAGGACGCGTCCTGGCCAGGATTTCTATATTGCCTAAAATATCTAGGTTTTGGCTTTGTTTGCATGTGCAGACCGATCGGTGTATGACATCAAAGTACCATACAGACGGTTATGCTTTCAAAACGCTCTCGAGGTACTTTGATGTCAAACACTGATCCGTCTGAGCCGCACTGCTTTTAAGTCGAACACACCTAATATGTACGCGTAATTGCATCACTTTGACCGTAGATCCCACCTTCTCACACGCCATGATTGGTCCATTATGTACAATGCTTGCATGTTATTGGTCAAACTACTTTTCGATCATTACCTTCAGCAAGCATCAAAACAAGAAAACAAAGCCAAAACAAATCCTGGCCAGGACGCGTCCTGGGAAAATGGCACGTATGGTCACCCTAACTTATGGTACCATTAGGCATAGATAAGGTACACCGTACCTTTAAGGGTACTGCCCCATTGACTAACTGCTGTTCCCCCTACGATTTTTGCACAAATATTTTTGACAGTGTACTTTAAATATAACTAATTCTTTTTGCTCAGAGGCTCCCGTGTCTATTGTTGGAAATTCAGAGAAGCCAGAACACCACATTTTAATGACAGGAGATGAGCTTATCCTGGAATGTGAGGTATCTCGAGTAAATGCTATAGTCCAGTGGTACTTCAATGGACGTTTACTGCAAGAGGATTCATGCACACACATTGAAAGCAGAGACACAACGAGGAAGCTTGTGATATCAGAACTTCAGACATCCGACTCTGGAGAGTATCTTTGCGATGCCATTGATGACAAAATGACAACTAGACTAACAGTTCAAGGTAAATTTACCAGTAGCATAGCCAAGAAAACACAATTTCAAACATATCAATTAAACCACTCTGCATACAATCACTAAATATCACATTTTTTCATAGTACCACCATTCAAATTCATCAAAAAAGATGAAAGAACAAATATTTCAGCCTATGAAGAAGACAGTGTGACACTACGTGCCACTGTTAACAGGGTCAATGCTTCAGTTAAATGGCAGAGAGGCCATGATCCAGTCAGAGGTGATCGTTTCCACACAACAAGTGATGGTAACACCCACTACCTCACTATTAACCCACTTAAGAGAAGTGATACTGGAGAATACACGTGTCATGTGGGATCTGACGAGATGCATTTCAGTGTCCATGTTAAAGGTAAGACCAGGGAATGGGCTGTTCTACAACTCTACAAAGTGTTATATGTGACTGCTTGTAAAAGATCTCTAGTAAAGTGTTGTCTAAATTGTTTCCTAATCAGCAATGAAAGTAAAATTCTCCAAACCACTAGAAAACGTAGTGGGACTCAAAGGTAGTGATGTGGTTTTAAAATGTGAACTGTACAAGTCAAAAGGAGATGTTCAGTGGCTTAAGGGCAGCCAAGAGATTGCACCAAACAGACATTTTACAATCAGAGCTGAGGGTCGAGTGAGAAGCCTGACAATACATGATGTCACAGAAGATGATGCAGGAGAGTATGCTTGTGAATCTAAAGATGAAAGGACATCAGCAACTGTAGTAGTCAACAGTAAGTTAAATTCTACCAAAGGACTTTCGTTAATCTGCATAAAGCTTGACCTGAAATCATGAATGAATCACATATTAATTTAGTGCCGATTTCCTTCTCTTCTTGTCCCAAGTTCCTCGCATTGTGGAGTTTATTGCAGAGCTACACAACATAACTGTCATGGAAGGAGAAGACGCAATATTTAAGTGTGTGGTTTCTCCAGAGGATGCAAAGTTGGCCTGGTTTAAGAATAGCCAGCCAATTTCATCAAATGAGAAGTTCAACATCTCAAGTAATGGATTATGCCATATACTGCATATCAACAACTGCCAAGTCTCAGATAGCTGCAAGTTGACAGCCGAGGCTGAAGGTGTGATTTCCAGAGCTATCCTACAGGTCCAAGGTAGAATACCATCCATTATTATTTGACTGCTTTACTTGATTTTTCGTTTGCTTACAAATCAATCAGAATACGACTTATGAACATGTATTCTTAGCATCAACCTATGAAGTAACCAATTAACTAATGGGTATTTTTCTACAATTTTCTTCAAAATAATATTTGGAATGCAGAGAGTGCTATATTTTAAGAGCCTGTGCAGGTCTTTAATGCCATGTCAACATGTTTGAGTTTAATAATGACCCTTTCAGACATGCCTGAATTTTTGAAAAGGTGCTTATGATGGCTTGTGCTTAACAGCTTCTCCAGTTAGAATTCCACTCTTAACTGACAGAGACAAGTGTTACTACAGCACATAGCAATGTAGAATGAGGAGCTGTACTACAAGCACATGAAATAATGTCATTCTCATTGGTTCTGCTCGTTGGTTTTCAAATATAAAGACTTTTCTAAAGTGTTCAAATGCTATGGGAAAAGATCTTATCATTTAACCTTATCTGTATTCAGAGGCACAGGTGCTTTTCACAAAGAGCATGGACCCGGTGGTTGCAGAGGAGTTTGGTGAGGCAACACTTGAGGTGGAGGTCAGCCTTGAGACTGCGGAGGTGCAGTGGATGAGACAAGGAGTGGTTATACATCCAGGGTCCAAATTCACCCTGAAGCAGAATGGCCAAAAACGTTCTCTCACAATCCACAAACTCACCCTTTCAGACCGCGGCACCTACAGCTGTGAAACGCTTCATGACCGCACACAAGCCAAGCTCACTGTGGAACGTGAGTCTGCACTACTGCTTTCTTTCTCACTATGTGCTGTTGTTAGCATTTCTTTATGGTGATGGTCCCTCATTACTGCCCGTTGCGATGTTGTTGTCTTAAACAAACTGAATCAAGTGACCAAGAGTAATGCGAGCAGGAGGCAGCTACTTTAGTGACACTGGTTCCACGGTTTGACAGCAGCAAACAGGTGACTGGCACACTACTTACTGAGTCCTGGGGAACAGCTTTCTGTATTGACATTAGATCAGAAGAGTTATGATAATTTAATTAAGCATGCCAAATAAGAACTGGATCAAGAGCTGGTAAAAGGTCCTGGCTAAGTAACCTTTTAATTCCTCTTAGTTGCCTGTGAAACACAGATATTATGAGAGGAGGATAAAAGTTTAATGTGGCTCTACTCATAACTGATTTCCATTTCCTTCAATACATTTATTAGCCAGTCTTATTTCAAACCTATCATACAAGATTTGCAATATCTCTTAACATACATTTTCGAGATAAAAATTTATTTACTCTTTAGAAAACAAGCAATTAATTACCAGTGACATACATTCCTTTCAGGATAGGTCAAGACGATGAAGCTGTGTTGTACAAATGAGCAAATGATGAGAGAAAGTCTGCACTTTGGCTGTTCCTGGCACCAACTATGAATCTGGATCTGTTTTCATTGCAGCTAAATTTATGCACTGGCCTTCAAAATCTAGGGTGGTGTCACCAACTCTCTAAAATAAACCCCTCTTTTCCACGGGGAATGCCTGTCTGCCTGTCTGTTTTGGAAAACTTAAAAAAATGTTGGCATAGCCCTGATTGAAGGCAGGATTTAGTGTATTGCAAACACCAAGCGGACAAAACCGTGCCAACTAATTCAACAACTGTTGCTCTATTTTTTCTCTTTATTACCTTTAACTTTCATCTTAATCTCTCTTTCTTTTCTAAACAATTCTCTGATATCTAATTGCATCACCATTGAAAAATACTTTTTTTGCATTTAACAACCTGTGCTTCTCGCACAGCACGAAAAATCAAGATTCAGAAAGGTCTAACTGAGATCCAGACTTACGAACGAGAGACGGCTTCTTTTGAGGTGGAGCTGTCACATGGCAATGTGGATGGTGTGTGGCAGAAGGATGGGCACATTCTCAAAAACAACAACCGCTTGCGTATGACTGCAAAAGGACGAGTACACAGCCTAACCATCTCCAACCTGACCTTGGATGACACTGGCACCTACATATTCTATGTTGAGAACATCAGATCACTAACAAGATTGGAAGTTAAAGGTACTGTGCAAATGAAAACTATTTTTATAGCAGAAACATAAAAGGGCAGTTCGCCCCAAAAGGAAAATTAAGTCATTATTTACATTATTTAGCAGGTGTTGTTCTAATCCTGTATGCCCTTCTTTCTTTTTCGAACCACAAAAGGAGAAATGTTCTAAAATGTCTTCATCTACATACTGTAATGGCTGTGAAAAGCAACCAGCTACAAACTTGATCACAAAATGATCCCATGCAACTTGTGCTTTCTTCTCTGTAGTAAATATATTTGTTGTGTTCCAGTTGTAGCAACAACAAAATGAGTTTACATGTTCACATCATCAGCTTTCATTCTGACAACTGGAGTTCGGGTCTGGAGATACTCACCTCAGAGAAGAAAGTACACAGATACTTTTTGGTTTTTCTAGGTTTTGTGGTTTGTGTAGGGTTTGTATTAATTAATTATCGCCAGTCACAGTGTAGACACAACATAACGTTACAAAAGCATGGATGAACATTATTTTTAAGGAAGCTCCAGATCTTGCCAGTAAGACAATGTTAGTTTGTTCACTTCATTTTATTGTGGATTTATTTTTAACTAATTATAACTCAATTCTGTTTTTTTATGTAAAAATCTTGCTAACATTCTAAGTAGACATCAGAGAACATTATAAAACTTTTAAAAAATGCAATTCATGACCTCTTTAATATCTTATGCAGGCTTACTTCAAGTAAATTCATCTTTAAAGGATTTTTTTAGACACATAAACTGGAAATTTAGATTTAAAATACTCATCTGCGATTCAGTGTTAAAATACTTTCTAGTTTAAAGTGGAAGGACAACTAAAAGTATGTAATTGATAGGCTGACTTTTATTTGGCTGTGTGGCACCTTTAAAACATTGCTTTGTTTATTTAAGCTGCCTGACATCAACTCCAGGCTCAACCGATGACATGAGTTCAGGGCAGGACAACTCTTATTTTAAAGGGTTATTTATTGTTAGTTTAGAAAACCTGTTTGTGAACTAGTGGTGCAGAAATTACACAAATGCTAAAGTGATTTAGCAGTTCTGTAAGATTTAGCCACTGATTTAAACCACCCGTATCCCTTTAACCATACACCTTCTCTCCAACATCCTACCATACAAAAACGGGCACCCAAAATGATCTGAAACACATATCCAAAATCCTTAAATAACCTATGAAGGTCATGCATATACTCATATTAACTTATAGCGTCAAGATATACAGGCTTGCAATAATCTGTATCTTGTTTCTTAATTGCTTTGGCAACAATTAACATATAAGGGGTGGAATTTGGCCATGATCAACAAGTCGTAGGAGGTAAGACAGTCCAGAGCAATGATGTAAGTCTCAAACTGGTTAAATTTCAGACGCTGATGACAGTACAATGGCATGGACAGACAGCTTTGCTACTGCTCTTACCATGTGTCAGGTTACACATATAAAAAGATACGGATCACATGATCAGACTACAGCTACTGAAACATTTCAAACATTCACAAGCATAAGGTGCCGGTGTAAGGTAATCTCTTCTATGCCAAGTCACTCAATAGGGCTTATCCTTTGGAGTCACAGAGCTGTCACTGAGGATGACAATAACGTGTAAACGCCACAACAACAAAGGACTCATCTCAAAGTCCTCTAGGCACAAAGCTGAGGTATGGTTAAACGATAAGCTCCTGTTGTACTTGACAGATTGATATGTACACAACTGACTCATGTGATCTCAAAAGTCAAACAGGGCAACCAGAGGTAAATTGTCAAAAATAATAAGAAATATTGACTGGCTTTGAAAATCACAGCCTTTCAAATTTGATCAAAATGGTTTTGTTATTGGTTTTGGTTTTGCCTAATAAAATGTGTATATCTAGCATGTTTTCATGTCAAAAGCATTGTTTTCACATAGGCTGACGACTCCTTTGCTTCCTCAGAAATTCCAGTATCAATTCTGAAAAAGCTTGAGGATATCAGGCAACCAGAAGGATCTGGCGTAACCCTTGAATGTGAGCTCTCACGCCACAACGTGGATGTCAAGTGGACAAAGGTAAAATTACATGACAGCCTCAAAAAACTACGGTGGCCGAGAAGTGCAAAACAAATCACAATTCTGAAAACAAAGTAACAAATTACAAACGCAAATGCAAGTCTAAAAAACAAAATAACAATTCAGAAAGCACAACAACAATTCAGAAAACATTATAACAAGTCGTTGGCTTTTTGATGCGATCGGCCCGGGTTCGATCCCGTCTTTTGCCGATCATTTTTTTCCTCCCTTTTCAAATCTCGTATTAGCAATGGATTCTATTTACACTAAGTGAATGCACTTCTCGGCCACCGTACAAAACCCTGTTGTTGCTGTAAATTAAAAATCATAAAAAAGCCCCAAGCCAATAACTACTTATAATTATGTGAAAAACTTCTACAAAATGAGGGGTGGGGGGGTGGGGGGTCTTCTTCTTTCAGAATGAAGTTCAGCTTAAACCAGGAAAAAATCATCGCATTTACTCGATGGGAAGAAAGTGCTTTCTACAGATACTGAAGTGTGAGCTGGGAGACTCTGGTTTATATGTGTGTGATGCTGGGGATGCCACTACCTCCTGTTCAGTGGATATCTATGGTAAGAACAGAAAGTCTTAGATTATCACCACAATAATCTGCAGATTATATACTTTCCTGATTATTTAAAACTAAATCTTAGCTATATCTTAATCTCGCTGCTGAAGTAATTCACTCTAAGTACAACATTGCCATCTACTGGTACAGAGGTGAATTTAACAAAATGGGAAGCATTTACCCTTGATTTGTTTTAAATGAGTACATAATGAAATTATGCAACGCCTTTTTATGTTTATTAACATTTCAACAGAGAGGGAGCTTGAGATACTACAAAGCTTAGAGGATCTGGATATTCAAGAAGGTCAGAATGCAGTGTTCATGTGTGAAGTGTCCCTGGACAATGTGCCCAGAGAGTGGTTTAAGAATGGCGAGAAGATCAAACCAACCAGCACCATTAAGATTCGTCAGGAAGGTTATTGTAGCACCTGTTGCTAAACTTTACCCTCTTCCAAAAATTAACCACAAAATATTTAAATCAGTATCTGATCATACATTTTCTGAACCATTTTTTTTCCTACTTAGGGACAAAGCACTTCCTCCTCATATGCAATGTTAAAGAAGACGATTCTGGAGAGATCAAGTTTGTTGCCAAGAATGTTGAGACTACAGCTTACCTTGAGGTGGAAGGTCTGTATTTAGTTTAAGTCAAGCATTCACTACAAATCCAAAGCTAGTCACCCCCTTTGATGACAAGTCACAGATGCTATGACATTTCAAACCGGTTTCAAACTGGTTTGAAATGTGGCCAACCAGAAATTGGATATTTACACTGTTTTCCGACAAGTGAGAAAGCCTATGGAAGCCCGTTTCTATGGAAGCCCGTTTCCGCCACTGAATTAAAAAAAAAAAAAAAGGTAATTGTGACTTTTTATCTCACAATTCTGACTTTTTTTTCACAGAATTGTGAGATATAAACTCGCAATTGCGAGTTATAAAGTCAGGATTGCGAGATATAAATTCAGAATTCTGACTTTTTTTCTCAGAATTGCGTGATATAAACTCGCAATTGCGAGTTAAAGTCCAATTTTGAGGGGGGGGGAAGACTGATATGTTCTCAGAAATGCGAGTTTATATCTCACAATTCCGAGAAAAAAAGTCAGAATTGCGAGAAAAAAAGTCAGAATTGTGAGTTTATATCTCGCAGTTCTGACTTTATTTCTCAGAATTGCGACTTTATGTCTCGCAATTGCGAGTTTATATCACGCAATTCTGAGAAAAAAAGTCAGAATTGTGAGATAAAAAGTCGCAATTACCTCTTTTATTTTTTATTCAGTGGCGGAAACGGGCTTCCATAGAAAGCAGCAATGACCAACAACAACCAAAAAAAAAAAAAGAAGAAGTTTTCAAAGCACTGTTTCATCTATATATATTTAGGCTATATATTTTTTTTTTTCAATTATTGCATTTTCAAGAATTAACTTACAACTGACTTAAAACTACAACTTTTCATTTCTACAGCACTACCAGCAAACATTGTGAAACCACTTCAGGACAAGACTGCTCTGGAAAAAACCCGCGTCATACTGGACTGTACTGTGACCAATCCGCGTTGCAGCATTCGCTGGTATAAGGGACCGAATGTCATCCTGCCCTCAGAGCGCTTTGAGATCTGCAGTGAAGGGTGCTATCGAAAACTTGTGATTCAGCAGGTGTTGCTAGAAGATGAGGGCACCTACAGTGTCCAAGTTGGAAACTACACATCTTCAGCTAAACTAACTGTTGAAGGTGAGGCAAATTCAGCCCTTTTACACCAATTATGGATTGATTGACAGTCATATAAAAAAATTAGAAAGAAAGAAAAAGAAAAAAAAACTGTAGTTCTTTGAGCTGTTCATTTAGAGTTAATGATCAGATTTGTTTGATTATTATATGGAGCCACATTGTATGCACATTGTTTGCATAACAAACCAATGTTTTCAGTCAGTATATATATATATATATATATACAGTATATATATAGAGAGAGAGAGAGAGGCTATAGCCTATATATGTATAATTTAAAAACGTGACTACATTCATCGTGGTTGAGGGAACGTAAATGGAAAGTTATTTAAAAATTATAATACATTTTAAATCAGGAATATGCTACCTAGCCTATAGAAAGAGATTATGGCAAAGATTCAAAACAATATTTATCCATCTTTTGTACTGTACATTATAATGTTAAAAATTCACTTAAAGCATATACAGTAAACATCATCAAATTGTTTTGGATAGAATTTCAATAGGCTATTCCTGCATCCCTACACGAACATATATCAACAAAACCTTTTATTATATATTTGCTATGTCTAATGACAATAATCTTTTCGGATGACAAGTCTTTTCGGATGTTGCAACAACTTAAACCAAGCAATCACTTCCCTATTAGGTGGGACGTTCTTAATTAAAACCAAACGCGTTTCTTGGCACGAAGACTAATCCGACATGAAACCTTGTGTCACACACCTAATCTCATGAGAAATTACCTAATTGTCTTAATATTCGAGCGCTTACTCGACGCCAAATACATTTTAACATGTTTCATAGCAAAATTACTCAAGCAATTTATATCTAAGTACTTTAGACCAGTGTTTCCCAACCGGGGTGCAGTGTAAAAAAAGTCATTTTTTTAATATTTTAAATTGCTAAAATGTTCAAAAAAGCATTTATTATATAATATCCATTTCTGATGTCGCCAATAATTAGAGATGCACCGAAATTTCGGCTGCCGAAAATTAGTTAACCGCTCAGGTTTCACTTTCACGTGGTGTGACGCTCTGTGTATTATCCCGCTCTATGCGTGTGCGCTCCGCTCAGTCGCTCCACTCGTATACCGTTCATGCTCATCGGAACAGCAAAGTCCACTCAAAAATCGAGCCAACAGGAAACATCGATGTAGTACAGTATTGTTTCTGTCTGCAATAGCCTTACTGTGTTGTAACATGGTGTGGTATATGGGCAACTCTGGTAACGCTGCCCTCTCATTCATAGATCTGCTAACTGCTATGTTATGCTCACGTGTTCTAATAATAATCGTTTTCTAGGACTAAACATTATTCGGATAATTGGTAAAAAAAAAAAAAAAACTAAATCTCTTAATTGCCCTACTGTTAGACCTACCTGAAAAACTAAAAAACAATTTATTTAATTCGAAGGCCTGTCGTTATTTTTTACTTGTGCTATCATTATTAATTTCTTTATTTGTTCTTATTTTATTACTATAAGCTATCTTGTGCTACTGCACCAAAATTACCCCACTGTAAAATAAAAAAAACACTGAGTGAGCAAAAATTTGTGAGATAGCTAGTTATAATGGTAATTAAATAATGTTTACATATGTATAAAAGCCTACATTAAAATCTGTCATATAAATTGGTCTCTTCATTAGAAATTAGCCTACTGATTGCCACCATTGATGGACAAATGTTTTAAATAATATTAAAAATATCTGTATGACATTATATTCTGCAGTTCTTCCCTGTTGTACCGAATATCTATACTTTTCAAATTATCATATCGAAGTTAGAAATTCAAATATTGTGACAAAATTAATTTTGTAGGGTGCCACAAGTTTGTTAAAATTTCCAAAGGGTGCCGCGACTAAAAAAAAGTTGGGAAACACTGCGATAGACGATAGTATCGTGTATCGACGATAGTCAGAGATATCGACTATAGCAGATGTCTTTGTCGATAGTCAAGACGATATTAGGCTCATTCTCCTATAAATTTTTTTTTTTATAATATTAAAAATATCTGTATGACAGTATATTCTGCAGCTCTTCCCTGCTGTACCGAATATCTATACTTTTCAAAGTATCATATCGAAGTTAGAAATTCCAGTATTGTGACAAAACTAATTTTGTAGGGTGCCACAAATTTGTTAAAATTTCCAAAGGGTGCCGCGACTAAAAAAAGGATGGGAAACACTGCTTTACGAATAAATCTCTGGCCTGCTTTGGGCGTTCAATTTACCCTCAGCCCCCAGTCATTCAACTATAGGCGCCAAAAGTTCTCTGCAGTTACTACAATTAACCGGCAGATGGCGATGTCTCCCTTTTACATCTACAGTACCTATAGACCAGGGGTGTCCAAACTCGGTCCTGGAGGGCCGGTGTCCTGCAGAGTTTAGCTCCAACTTGCCTCAACACACCTGCCTTTAAGTTTCTAGTATGCCTAGTAAGAGCTTGATTAGCTGGTTCAGGTGTGTCTAATTGGGGTTGGAACTAAACTCTTCAGGACACCGGCCCTCCAGGACCGAGTTTGG